GAATGACATCATATCCCTGCTCCCTGTGTCCCACACAGCGCGGCTGGCGCCCTGTGATGGTGCTGGGCTGCAGGACGGGACTCCACAGAGCCGGACAGCATGCACCCAGGGGACAAGATTTAACAGATGTAAGTATGTAATTATGTATGTATGTATATCTGTATGTATGTATGTCTCTGTATTTATGTCAGTATGTCTCTGTATGTATGTATGTCTCTGTATGTATGTATGTATCTATCTCTATGTATGCATGTATGTATCTGTATGCATGCATGTATGTATCTGTATGTATGTATGTCTGTCTCTGTATGTATGTCTCTGTACGTGTGTATGTCTGTATGTCTCTGTATGTATGTATGTCTCTGTATGTCTCTGTATGTATGTCTCTGTATGTATGTATGTATCTATCTCTATGTATGTATGTCTCTGTATGCATGCATGTATGTAACTAAATGTTTGTCTCTGAATGTCTGTATATATGTCTCTGTATGCATGTGTGTAACTGTATGCCTTTATGTCTCTGTATGTACATATGTGTCTGTGTGTCTCTGTATGCCTGTATGTCTTTGTATGTATGTTTATGTATGTATGTCTGTATGACGGTTTGCCTCTCTATGTATGAATGTTTGTATGTGTCTGTATGCCTGTATGTCTTGTATGTATGTTTCTGTATGCCTGTATGTCTCTGTATGTATGCCTGTATGTCTTTGTATGTATGTTTCTGTATGCCTGTATGTCTCTGTATGCCTGTATATATGTATGTGTCTGTATGTATGCTGTATGGCAGTATGTCTCTGTATGCATGCATGTCTCTGTATGCATGCATGTCTTTGTATGCCTGTATGTATGTATGTGTCTGCATGCCTGTATGTTTCTGTATGCCTGTATGTATGTATGTATGTGCCTGGATGTCTTTGTATGTATGTTTCTGTATGTATGTGCCTGTATGACGGTATGCCTCTGTATGTATGCATGTCTTTATATGCCTTCATGTCTCTGTATGCATGTATGTCTTTGCCTGTATGTCTGTATGTCTCTGACTGACTGTATGTGTCTAAATGTCTCTGTATGATTATTTCTGTGTTTGTATGACAGTGTACCTGTATGACTTTGACTGTGTGACTGAAAAATTATGCCTGTGGCTTGGGAGGAAATACACACAGGTGAAGATGCATTTTTTTTTTTTTTAAAGGAGGTTGAGGGGCACCAAAATGCATGTTTGCCTGTGTAACTAAAAATCCTAGCACCGGCACTGTTCAAGGTATAATTCCCCACTCTTTCAAGACCTTTCAATACAAGACCTTACGCGGTCTCGGTCTCATTACGATTGACTCACGGTCTTACGCCCACGGTATGGTAATTCTTTACAATTTCTCTACCCTGGTCTACGGCCATACTGCCATCAGGCCAAGGAAAACATCCAACCTACCTGATCCGGTACTCAGGCATACCATCAGGTACTTACGTCCTTACTCACGTACGGAAATCACTACCCCAAGGCCTCAATCAGCCTTTCTCTTTAACGCAAACTCGTCCCAATCCTATACTAAACCTTTCAGATCCCTCAATTCAGGATCTCACGTTGCGCTCCTAACAGCCAACCCTCAGTGCAAACCATACGTCACCACAATATGCATAAATACATCAACATCTGTCTTAAACCTCAGGCTTCTTCTTTAAGAACAGCAGCAGACAAGACTTGCCACATTAAAAAATACTAGAAGGTTCCAGTTATCATTTATAACCTTTCAAGGTTAGTATCCACCCATTACACCAGAATTTCCCAGTCAACCTTAAGTATACAATTGAACTGGCTACTGGGTCTAGGCTACCGCCTTAGCTCACCCTATTAGGAAATCCGGTCCCGCAAGGCCATCTCCCACCTCAACATGGAGGTACGGCCCCACGCCCAAATCATAGTTATATGCCTCGCCCGCCCTACTACAGGGCTTTAGTCAGGGCCTCACCTGTCACGGCCACATGTTTTGAATTCTCTTTACAGTCACCGAGAGGCCAACACCCTGCCACCACGTCTGTGGTCTCAATTTCCTAAGCCAAATCATAGGTAGAGTCGCTCACCGCCACTTGGCATTAGCAGGGCCTCACCTACCAAAAATTCCACAGATACGTTTTTCGCTTCGGCACTAGCATTACAGTCCAGTTCTTCCAATAAATACCATCCTCATATCCCCCCACGTTTACTTACTCCCCTTCTAATATCTCATTCACAAAATCATTTCTTTTAGAATGTCCCAAGAACCAATCCCCATCGAAGAACTGCCAGAAGAGATACCGTTTACGCCAACCAGACCAGAGTCTCCAGGCGAATCTCTCACCCCTTCAACTCCCACATCCTAGAGAGCATGGACTATTCCTAAAATTACGTCCGAGCTTAGGCTCAAGGGAATCCCCTTTCCAGCCACAGCTAGAAAGGAGGAACTTTACAGGCTGCTTAACTACCAATCCCCTGAGCCTAGGCCAAGCACTAGCTCTCAAGTACAGCCACCAACCACTGGCACGGCCACCCAGGATACCCTGGCAGCAATCTTGGCCAACCTATAGACCCTTAATAGCAGGCTATCTAAGGTGGAGAGCGCCATCGCCTCCCCAGGTAATACCCCGGGCCTCCCAGTCTCCACCTCGGCTGTCCCCGCTGTACCAGCATGCCCCCCCATACTCCCCTCTGTCTGGTGTCTCTGCTGATAGCTTCACAGGACATACTGGAGAACAAGGCTTACAATTACGGGTATATATCAGTAGTGTTTAAGACAAGAGATCCCAGGATTAATAAAAAACTTTCAATTCCCCAGTTCGTGATAGCTTTCGGGATATACCGTGATGTCATCTGCACGGTGTATCCCCACAGAAGAGAGGAGTTAGACCTCTACCTTCACAAGGTGGTGGATCTAGGCTTTAAGTACGGGGGCTCTTCTTTCTACGACTATCATAAGTCAGTATCAGCGAAGGCGGCGACCCATCTGAAACAGTTCAACGTTAGAATTAACTGGTGTCAGATGGATACAGAACTATTCTGTCGCCACTTCGCTGGTCTCAGGCCCCCGTCTTGTTCCATATGTAATTCCACATCCCACATGGCGAACTTATGTCCCTCTGAAGCAGATCCCACCACCTCCACTCCCACCCCTCATACCTCTTTCACCCCTCACAACAAACCAACGGGTGGTCTACGTGACAAGCTGGGTAGGCCCATCTCCTTTTTAGGCAAGGCGCAGGTGTGCAATAATTTCAACGCAGGCTCCTGCAGTTTCAGCGCATGTAGATTATTGCACATCTGCTCCATTTGCTTCAGGGCACATACCAAGACCATGTGTCCGGCCAGGTTGTCCCTTAACAAATGACTAACCGACATTAATGTCGACAACCTGTTTTTTTACTTAAGGTCACACCCTAGCAGGCACCTGGTGGAATATCTGACCACAGGGTTCACAAAGGGGTTTCTCACGGTTATAGTAGCCATCCCCTCAGGTACACTTGAATGTCCTAATCTCCTGTCAGCACGTCTAGACCCAGTCTCCACAGACACTCTCCTTTCCTCTGAAATTACCAATGGTTTCATGATTGGGCCTTTCACCTCCTCAACTTTTTCCTCCTGGCGTACTAACCCAATCGGCGTCACAGTTCACAAATATTCAAATAAAAAACTTCTAATTATCGATTTATCGGCACCGCACTCCTCTTTTGTTCCCAGCATAAACGCACTCATTCCAGCAGACGAATTCTCAATCCAGTACGTAACTATTGACGACGCTATACAGGCCATCATCTCTTCTGGTAATCGCCCCTGGCTCAGCAAAACAGACATTACACACGCGTTTAAGTTACTACCCATGCACCCCTCACTCTGGCACTTGCACAGTGTTAAATGGCGAGGAAAGTACTACTTCTCCACACGACTCACTTTCGGTTCTCGAAGCAGCCCCAAACATTTCGATATCTTCGCTGAGACACTATGCTGGCTGCTTCTGAACGTCCTCAGGTGTCACTCCGTTATTCACTACCTAGACGACTTCCTACTGATAGAGCCAGGGGCACAAACACCCACCGCTATCAGCCGCACTACAGCACTTTTTTCCACACTTGGAGTACCTTTGTCTCCATCTAAAACAATTGGTCCCACAACTAAATTAACCTTTTTGGGGATAGAGCTAGACAGGGCCGGACTGGGAATTAAAAGCAGCCCTGGAAAAAAATATTTACCAGCCCCATAATGCGTTGCGCCAGCATAGTGTGCAGATACAGAGTTAGAACAGATAACTTAAAATTAAAAAGTACTTCAACGTAAAAAGCGCACTCATAGGCTTCAAAATAAACAAAAGTGCAGATTTATTTTAAGCAGGCGTGCCTTTGCATGTAATCAATGTTTCAGTCCAACTACCTTGACATATTAAGGAAAGCTTGTTAATGGGACTGAAATGGTGAATGTATGTAGGGCACAACTGTAAAAAATGTTTATTTTGAAGTCCTGTGGGTGTGCTCTTCACTTTAAATATGTTATTGTGCTGGAGTATACACCTAGCAACAAGACTGGGCCAATATCTGCTCATTACATATGGTACATATTAATGTATTATGCATTTATAAATGTACATTAATATGTGTAAATATAATAGGTATATATAAAAAAAAATATATATATATATATAACTAATACACACATTAATATACATGTCATATACTAGTGGCGGATCCAGAGCCTGAGCCTGAGAGGGGCACTTGTAGATTATTTAAAGAAATATTCCATGCACAATAACCACTACTCCTCTGTGTAGTGGTTATGGTGCCAGGAGCGTCGGCACCCCCTCCCAGAGTAAGTCGTCAAACCGTTTAAGAACAGTTTGACAACTTACCTGGAGTCTGCTGGGATATGGGGCTGTAGTAGGGTATAGGAGCAGTGGTGCAATGTGTGTGAAAGGTTCAGTGTGTGGGTGGGCAGTGTGTAAATGTGTATGGTGTGTGTGTGTGGGGGCAGTGTGTGAATGTGTATGGTGTGTGTGTGGGGGGCAGTGTGTGTATGGGGCTAGAGTTCACTCCTACTACTGGGACCACCAGGAAGTGGTGAGAGTGAACTCTAGCCCGTAGCTCCAGGGCTAGAGTTCACCCTCGTGAGAGCCGGAGCGTTGCCCCAGGTCCTCTCTTCCTCCCCTGCCGACTGGCTGCACGGTGCCTGTGGAACGGGGAGGGAGATCGGCCGGCAGGGGAAAGCCTTGGGGGGGGGGGGGGGCGTTGCCCCCCCCATCCACCAGTGATATATACTGCCCCTATGTGTGTCTCTTTATCTCCAGCCCCTCTGTGTGCCTTTTTGTCTCCCCCAGTCACTCTGTATGTTTCTTTCTCCCCCTCACTGCTCCTCTGTGTCAATGTCTCCCCTCTCCTTCCCAGTCTCTCTCTCCCCCCTCTGCCTCTTTCTTCCCCTCCCCTTGTGTGTCTCTCTCTCATTTCTCCCTCTTTGTCTCTCTCTTCCCCCTCTGCCTCTTTCACCCCCTTTCCCTGTGTCTCTTCCTCCCCCCTTTCCCTGTGTCTCTCCCTCCTCCCCATCTCTCTCCCTCCCCCCTTTCCCTGTGTCTCTCCCTCCTCCCCATCTCTCTCCCCATCCTCTCTCCCGTCGTCTCCTCCTCATCCTCCTCCCCTTTCCTGTTTCTCTCCCTCCTCCTCTCTCCTCCTTTCCTGTGTCTCTCCTCCTCCCCGTATCTCTCCCTCCCCGTTTCCTGTGTCTCTCCTCCCTCCACACTTCCTGTTGATGCTCCCCATCTCTCTCCTCCTTTCCTGTGTCTCTCCCATCTCTCTCTCCTCCCCTCCCTTTCCTGTGTCTCTCCATCTCTCTCCTCCTTTCTCTGTTATTCTCCCCATCTCTCTCTCCTTTCCTGTGGTCTCTCCCATCTCTCCTCCCCTTTTCCGCTATGATGTCTCTTCCCATCTCTCTCCCTCCTCCTGATATCCTCCTCTCTCCTCATCTCTCTCCCACTTTCCACTATTGTCTCTCCCTCCATCCTCAATCTCCTGCTTTCTGTGTCTCTCCCTCCTCCTCTTCCTCTCCCCTTTTGCCTGGAGTCAGGCCGGCCGGGTTCCTGGCTGGAGCCGCCGGGCTGGGTGGCAGCTTCCCCGGTCCGGCGGTCCTGCTCCTGTCACTGCTGTGGCTGATGGAGGAGGAGCATGTCTCTGTACCATGCTCCCTCGCGTATGTTAAAGGTTTCAGCTCCTCTCACTATCACAAGACTACCTATAGATGGGCCTATCTTCAGATCACTTAGCAATCTCCTTGACGAATTCCCGTTTGATCCTGACACAAACCTGGTGATCAAAGCAGCTATCTATCTTGCTTTCTACGGTTTTCTCAGACCTAGAGAGTTCACCGTTGTTCGTCAAGGGGATATCGCGCACAGCCTAAAAACATCGCACCTTACAAAGGTGGAGGATCACTATCTACTTTCGATCCCGTCAACTAAAACCAACCATTCACTACACCCCACCCCACTGTAATTCCTCTCTTCCCTACTGATAATACCTGGTGTCCGGTCAAGGCGCTAGACCACCTACGGTCAACCCTTCACGCGCACTTACCAGACTCTCCGCTCTTATCAATACAAGGGCACCCGCTTACCACTGCTAAATTCACGTCTCACGTCAGAACACTATTATCTAAACCGGGTTTCAATCCGACTTCATTCTCCGGGCACTCCTTTCGCATAGGAGCCGCCTCTTCAGCCTCCAGCACTAATACACCGATCCACATCATCAAGAGACTGGGGCGATGGAAATCCTCCATATACCATATTCCACGACCAGAAAAAGAGCTTCGTCAAGATTTCAGGAATTTGGTTATGTAAAAAGGCAATAAAGTGTGTATTTTCTCGAACTTCTCTTTTGCCCTCTTTTATTTACAGGCCCACTCGTACGTTGGTTTCGGCACACCACAACCAACATTGTCCTTACAGATACTATCCATTACTATTAAATTCTGAGCACAAGTAGAAAGGCCATTAGGCCTGAATTTGTGGGAGGAGTAAGTCCCCTACTTAAACTCCCAGCCCCTACTCACCTCTGCCATTCAGCTGATTGTCCCCACCCACCTACACCCTGTTATAATTACATTCTCCTTGGTGGGCCCTCTTTTATTCACAGGCCCACTCGCACACCACAACCAACTTTGTCCTTACAGATACTATCCATTACGTATTAAATTCCGAGCACAAATTATATATATATATATATATATATATATATATAAATGCTTATTTATTATAAAAAAATACAGCTTTTGCAATAATAATGTGTGCACAATTAGTGCAGGTTAAGGAAAGTAATTAAAAATAAATTCATTTAGTTGTTCTGATTTACAGAATATATAATGTGTCTGGGATTTTATGTTTCTTTTGGTAGTTACAGGTCACAAAACACAAGGAGTAAAATAGACTTTTAATGTGGAGCGATTTTAGAATTTGGTATGTTTGTCTTGTAAGCTTAATAGCCATAAAAGAAAACAAAATTGCCACACAAAAGTATATATTTATATAAAGTAGACATTACAGGCTATTTACCTAAGGTTGTTTTGACACTTTCTACGTAGCCATTTCAACGCCAATCTCTGCTAAATATTGGAGTAAAATTGTGTTTTTGGGGGGTTTTGGCACACAAACTTATAACAAAGAACTTCTCATGTGTATTTTGTAAAGTTGGTGTTTGCTATTCCTGTACAAAGTTTTATTTTGTGTTCAGTTACATCTGCTGAGTAAAATGACACCCCCATTGTATGTCTTTGGCACTATTTCGTGAAGCTACAGTGCCATATAGGAGACCTGTCCTTTTCAGTATTCACAGTAGAATTTTGAGAGACGAATTTAATGAGTCTTTACAATTTGTAAAAGTAGACTTTACCATTTGTAAAAGTAGACACTCCAAGGTATCTCATAATGTGCATATTGTGCCTTAGCATGCCCCCATTTATTCACCAATACATGCCAAAGTATGTGGTAAAAAAATTTGGGGGGGCATTTTGGCATACGGATTGCATTTTTGCTGGGCATTTTGTATATTTCATATGTGCCACTAAGTTCAAAATCCCCAAATTATGCTCAGCTAAGTCTTCTGAGTAAAAAGACACCCCCAATGAATGTCTTTGGCACTATTTCGTGAAGCTTCAGTGCCATATAGGAGACCAAGCCATATCAGTTTTTACCGAACTTTGAATTTTGACGCTGGGCCTATGTCAATTTCCAAGCATCTTCGCAGGTTTTAAATTCAAACTACCCCACAAAGACCTACCATTTCTTAAAATAGACACCCCAGGGTATTTCAAAAGGTATATTTTGAACCTTAGCGTGGGATCATTTTTCCGCTAGCTTGTACCAGGTGTAGTGGTAATAAGCGTTCTTTTTGCCTTTTTTTTGCAAACCTTATGTGTGCTACCACTGTATAATACTTCATATGTTGCTCAGCTATGTCGGCTGAGTACAGCAATACCCCCGTATGTACCTTTGCCAGGTATACGTGGACATCGGAGGCAGTGGCGTCTCTAGGATTCATTTTTAGGGGGGGCACATGGTGGGCCAGGGAAAAAAGTAGGGGGGCACATTTAACCCTGCCCTTGCCGCAGTTTGACCCCACCCCTACCGCATGTTAAGTCCCACCCGCGACACAATGTGTTTTTTTTTTTTTTAATAATCCCTAGTGGAGGATTCATTATTTTCCACCAGGGATTATTAAAAAACAAACACATTTCCCTTGATACAGTGCCATAGTTGGCACTGTATCCATATACACAGTCCATATACACACACACACAGACTGTTGAGTCCATACACACCCACAGACTGCTGAGTCCATACACACACACACAGAGACTGCTGAGTCCATACACACACATAGACTGCTGAGTCCATACACACACACACACACACAGACTGCTGAGTCCATACACACACACACACACACACACAGACTGCTGATTCCATACACAAACACACACTCTGCTGAGTCCATAAACAAACACACACAGACTGCTGAGTCCATACACACACACACAAACTGCTGAGTCCATACACACACACACACACACACACAGACTGCTGAGACCATACACAGACACAGACTGCTGAGGTCCATACACACACAGACACACACACACAGACTGCTGAGTCCATACACACACACACACAGGCTGCTGAGTCCATACACACACACAGACTGCTGAGTCCATATACACCTACAGACTGCTGAGTCCACACACACAGACACACACACAGACTGCTGAGTCCACACACACACAGACACTCACACAGACTGCTGAGTCCATACACACATATAGACTGCTGAGTCCATATACACAGACACAGACTGCTGAGTCCATACACACACAGACTGCTGAGTCCATACACACACACAGACTGCTGAGTCCATACACACATACAGACTGCTGAGTCCACACACACACAGACTGCTGAGTTCATACACACATACAGACTGCTGAGTCCATACACACACACAGACTGCTGAGTCCATACACACACACACACACACACACACACACACACACAGCATGATGTAGGGGGGCCATGCCCCCCTCACCCCCCCCCCATAGTAACGCCACTGATCGGAGGGGCACATTTGGGACACAGCCATTCTAGTTTTTTTCAAACTTTCAATTTTTACGCTGTGCCCATGTCCCATTTTAGAGTATTTTACCAGGCTATATAATCCAAATACCCCATAAAGCCATACCATTTCTTAAAGAAGACATCCCAGGGTATTGCTAAAGGCATATTTTGAACCTTAGCGTGTGATCATTTTTCCACTAGCTTGTACCAAGTGTAGTGGTAATAAGCATTTTTTCTGCCTTTTTGACACACAAAGTGAGTTTGCTCAGCAGTCTTTTCTGAGACACAGCCATTCAGTTTTTTTCTAACTTTGAAGTTTTAAGCTGTGTCCATGTTCCAATTTGGAGTAGTTTAGATGGTTGGTTATTGAAACTTCCCCACAAACACATACTATTTATTAAAGAATACACCCTGGGGTAATTCAAAAGGCATATTTTGAACCTTAGCGTGGGATAATTTTTTCTCTAGTTTGTTCCAGGTATAGTGTTAATGAGCATTTTTAAATGTATTTTTTTACTTTTTTAAACTTTTTTACTTTTTAAAACTAGTTTTTAAACTTTTGTTTTGCTTATTCATTTTTTTAAACTTTCCTAAACTTTCTTAAAACTTTTTTTTACAGATTTAACATTTTTCTAAGCCTTTTCTTTACCGTTAACCCCTAACTAGCAGTAAGCAGCACTAAAAGTAAATTCCCCTTTTTTCCATAACTCCC